TGGAAGCTTTTAGGTCGCTGGCTTTGGGATATTACAGCAGATGAACAGCTTACAACCACAGAAACTACAAAACATGACAAATACGTCGAACCTCCCCTCTGTCCTCAGAAAAAAAAGAAAAAAAAAAGAAAAAAAAAGAGGAAAACACTAAGGACACTTCTCTAAAAAGAGCCAAACCCTTTTATGAGACCTGTTGCCAATATCAGTGCCACCGAATGATCTCATCTTTCATTCTGGCTAAATTCCAACACACAATTTCATTAACCCAGGTACTGCAGGTGATAAAACTCATTTTTCCCTAAAGAGACAGCTAAAAAGTACCAGTTATACATTTATGAAGTACCAGCAATCAAAATTATGGATTTTCTAAAAGGTTTTTAACTACTTTTATTGAAAGGAAAATCGCTGTCTCAGACTTTTGTGACACTATTGCTAATAATAAATTTTACCATTTAGACACAGCAGTAATACGGTAGACAGTGTCAATAAAAGAATGAAACAAAGATGATCCTCGTCTCTTAAGTAATGCTTTCTGATTACACACCGGAAATTATAAGGTGAAGCATCAACGCAGAGCACCGTAAGACATGAAATGCAGCACTGCAAGGCAGCGCGCCGAAACGCGCCACGGCGGGCTGAGAGCCGCCCCGCTCACACCAGTGCGAACCAGGAGGGCGGAAGCATCCGTGTCCGCACACAGCGCGGACGCCACGCCGGTCGGTGCGGGGCTGCGTGCGGGCGCTCCTCGGGCTCCTTTTTGGAAAGCCTTCCTCCCGACATGCCAGGTGTCACTAGAGGGCACTGTGGGATTTGGGCCACCCGGCCTCCTCCCGCAGCGCCTGGAGAGGTCCTGAACTTCCGCACAATGTCAGAAAGGTTAATAAGGATGTTGTAAAAGAAACTGTAGCACCGAAATCCCAACAGCGGCTCGGAATAGGCGACCGTCTGGGAACTGGAAGGACCGCTTTCTTCCCCGCGCGCAGCGTGGGCAGCACGGCCCCGCAGCCCCCGTGTCGGCTGGGGAGGATGGAGGTTGGGTCTGGAGGTTGGGGTGTCAGGGTCCAGGAGGGCCGCCCCGCTCCCCTGCCCACCTCGAGGTCTGCGAGATGAGCTCGATGCGGCACATTCTGACACGCAAATGACAGAGCAATTAATGCCTTTGAAACAATTTATGATTTCCGGCCTACTTCAACATGTATTAGCATATACCTGGTTTCTTTAATATACACTTTGTTTTTCCAAAACCACAAACATAGTTGCTGGAATTTCATGTGGAAGTGCTTAAGGGGTTGAAAGTTAACACCTTTGTGAGCTGAGCAGTCTCACAGTTGCTGCTAAACAAAAGCCTCTTTGTAGAAGCTTTCTCGAAATGTTTTCTTAACATGTTCCAAGTAGTTTTAGGCAGGCAACTAAAGTAAACAAGATGTTACCATGATAAAAACACTTGTGAAAACATTAGGGAGTGCACTTAGTAGTTTCTTTCACATAAACTCTCCTTGGTTTCATCAGCTAAATGCGCACGAAGCAGCCTGCCAGCATCACTGCACTACGGATTGCAGGATCTCTCCAAAGGTCTGCATCTCTCATTTAAGGAGTATATTTGATTTTAACATGGTGCTGCCATGATTAAACGCATCCAAACCGCAATCAAATAACAGCAACAAAAAGATAAAAGGGAAAATAAAACCATACTCCTTCTCCTCCTTCAATTCATGCCCTGGATGCCTAGATACCTCTCTGAACAAACCACCCTCCCTCCAGCAGCGATTTCCTAAACAACTTGACATACAGGGGCATACTTCTCTCTGCAATGGCCTTTAAAGACATACAAATGAAATCACAGTCGGTTCCAAAGGAAAGTCTCTCTAATTGCTTCTTTCGCTGCCGACTGAGACTTGGGCGCTGGTTCAGGCACAAGACACGTGTGGCCCCTCCAGCCTCCACCCTGCTCCCCAAGGCTTGGCAGAAGGCCACCAGGTCACAGCGTTGCCACTGGCCGTGTTTGTGTTCTTAGGCTCGGGCAGCACTGGGGACCATGCGGGGTGCTCCTGTTTCATTAGGCTTAGCAGCTGCCCCCGCTGCTATCAGTTAGCTCTAACTGATGCCACATCACATGGCAACCAGTGGCTGACAGATTAAAAAACAACGCTAAAACTGCAACTTATTTCTAAAAGAAACAGGGCAATAAATGCGTACAATAGTTGGAGTATCTGCTGGTTCTGATAAGCATCCTCCTGTTGGCTGTGAGTGAAAGACAACCAGGATCGTTATTTGTACAGTATTTATCTTTGAAATCAAGGGCCCTGTGGTGTACCTCACCTTGGGAACAAACACTACAGAATGATCACAGAAGAGTGTCAAATCTCTGTTTTTGATTTACCAACAGTTATGATATTTCTTCCTCAGGAGGAAAAGAAATGAACCATGTTTTAGACCTGTGAGTCCTTTTTTCTCCTTTAACTGCAGAATCATTTTATTGGCATACAAGGCTCTCGTTCCACACGTAACTCCTCTTTGCTTTTTCTAACAGGCCTTTTTACCAAGGTAAGTGAAATTAAGCAATGCTGAATAGATACACCGGCTGTATTTCACTTGTTAACAAGAGCTTTTCTCTTGAGGGGCCCATCAAAAGGGCCTTGTGGATTGCACGAGTACCAGAAAGAAACTTCGAGCATCTACCTGTTACCTTCTCACTGAGTAACGAATTTTGTTAAATGTCAATAATGTAAGGAAGGATGATCCACAAGAGACTTGGAAGGCTACAGTAACATTTCATGAAGAAATGCTCACTTCTAACAGTGTCAATCTGCTCCTCCAGGACGTTTATTTCTGCATTCGTTCAGGGTGAAGCATCACTCTGAACAGCAGGACTTTGGACACTGTAGAATTTGGATAATGAGAAAACAAGTGTGAGCCAGCGGGCTTAAGAGAGACACACTTCTGCTAGAAGTTCTGATGGGGAACAAAGATCACTGCCATGAAAATGTGAGCGATAACTAAAATTATCGGAGCCGTGAGCAGCCAGAGCCGCTTCCTGCTGGTAACAGGTTCAAGTCCAGCCTGGCCTGTAATGGCTTCCAGGTTACCTTCCCCTACTGATGGCTCTCCACACTCCTTCACATGGACTGGTGGTCTGGGTCTACCAGACCATCCGCAGAATACCATCTAAACCAATCTTGTCTCCACTCACACCATGTGACTCAACCAACTGCTCTATTTTCTACACATGGTCTCATCAAGCTGCGCACTGTGTTGCAACAAACCTTGCTGGAACCAGGAGATCTACTCATCTACTCTACAACAGAGGACTACCACAGCAAGCAAAGGTGGCACAATCTGACCTTACTCAACTACACGGATTGCTCCAGTAAGGCTACCACAGCATCTTTCCCTTGTATTAACTGCCATAAAAAACAGAATTGTTTTAAAGGTCTAAACGGTATGGTATGGCATGAATATGAATGAGCTGGCTAGTATGGAGAGATTAGCATTTATTTCACTTAAGTGAACAACAGGATGAATTAAAAGAAATGAGGCAGGCCACCCTTCATGGAAATTTATGACTAGTACCTTCTTATTTTGTAATCCTCTTGTAATGAGAACCTTTTCATTACTGTACCATTCCTGACTTGTAACAGAGGTTTATACTACGACTAGCACCTACTGAATTCAGGAGGGTTTCACCAATGGAAGCAGAACTTGCCCACACCGTTGAGAGCAAAAACCTGCCTGTACCTCATCACCTAACATTCTCTGCTGGCTACTTGTTCTCACATGAAAACCTACGAACTGCCGCAGAAAGAAAAGATACAGCTGAATGTTTTGGGACCAATTCTACCTATCTACCCTGATGAATTCCACAGACTTACGTGGACTAACTTCATGAGATCACCACTGTAAATGGGAGAATTTGCCCCTTTGTACATTTAAATCACAGTCACTTTTGAGATCCAGCAACTGAATAGCCATCATCATCAAGAGACCAGTGCGCAAACACTCAAGAACGTGGACGCAGCAGAAGCACGTGTGTACCTGGTGATCAACCCAGACAGAAAACTCTTTTGTAGTAGGAACAGCTCAGAAGGGTGAGGCTGATGATTAAGCTGTGAAGCAGCCATGTGCAAGTTATTAGAGCTCTGTTGGTCCTTCCCTGCATTGGGATGCACACATTACCACGTACTAGTCCATAATGCACTGTTTATGCAACGTGTAAAATTGTGTTCTTTGGCAGCAAGGAAAGGTCTGCAGCAAACTGCAGGGGCCCAATTAATATAATTATAGTTTATTTTTAGTTGTGTAGACTTTGTTCATCAGTTACTTATTTGACACAAATTAAATTTCACGTGATGTTCTGCAATTCTGTCCAATTACGGACTTAATTTAAGACTAAATTTCTAAATTAAACTGAAATCAAGGTTAGATCAAGGTTGCATTGTTTACATTCTCAATACTGCAACTTAAAAATTAATGAAATAAAAAAAAAAAAAACAACTGCAGAATCGCAAACAATCTGTTTTATAGTAATACACTGAGCAAGACCATACTTTCCCCATGGGGCTAATTCACTATCCCCTGTTAAAACGTTCTTGAGCCTGATCCAAAAGCCACTGAAGTGAAAGGGAGCTCTCAGTTGACTTCAATGGGCTTTGCATCAGACCCGTGGTGAGTGACAGCGCACAACATTTCAAGGCATGCTTTCTGTACAATGCAAGTGCCAAAAATCCATTCTTACTTTAGAAACGACTGGAAGTCTTCACATACTGCTTCACAGCCCGGCCATTTGCATACGCCGTGTCCATAGAGCGGATGGCTGTGTGAGTGCTCCTCGTGGGATAAACTGGAGGGGAGAAAGAAAAAAGAGAGGAACTGTTGTAACTGAAGGTACCGCACCAATTATTCTTCACAAAGAGTAAAACAACAGATCCTGAAACAGCCCTAACATCTCATGGTACCCACCTGACTCTGCACACAGGTTTTCAAAACAGAATTAAATACCATTTGCAGAGTGAAACGTGTCATTCTTACTTAGCTATCCTCCTACATTTCATTCATTAATTAAAAGCTTTGTAAAGAATTTAAATTAGCACGGACGGGGGAGAAATCATTTGACAGACCTGCTTAATATCCTGCTTGATATTTTGCTGAGGAATGTCTGAATATTGCATATTTACAATTCAACTTAATTGGGAAAAGAAGTCATCTCCATACAGCGGTCTGTTCTTCGAACACGGTACAACTGGGCCCAAGGTGCACCACCCCACTACAGACAGGGAAAAGCACCAAGCCTTGGCTTTCCCACCACATCATCTATTTACTGTGCGTGGGTTTGGTTTTTTTTGTTGCTCTTTGCTTTTTTTCAGTCCCATTTTCCTCCTCTTGCAGGCTGTTTCTTTGCACAAGCACAGGCTTCCTACATCCCCGCAAAATATATTCACCAACGTTTTCAAATGTAAAATTCATCATAGAAAAGGAACCGTGTAATCAAAGGGTTCCTCAGCACGAGGGGTTAGTGGGGGCTGTTAACCTTGCTAAGATTTGGCAGGAACGTCGCTGAGCTTTCTGACTACTGAAACCAGGGTTAAAGAACAAATTCGTACGAACACTAAGGGGTTAATCCTCCAGCGGGATTCCAATCAATACGTAATGATTTGGCTGCACTGATCCAAGTCATGAGACGCTTTGATCCAGGCCATGTGGTGCTCAGGGAAATGTATCTGTTACACTAACTGATGAACCCTATTCTAAAATATCTTCTTTATTCAACTTCTGCATGGAAACTTCTTAAGTGAAGGAATTATTTTTGCAACATCTTCCATAACCTTAGATGACTTTTAAACATAAAATGTCAAAATAATATTGAAATCTCTATTTTACGCTTATACACGTATCTATTTTCCATGTCTGTGCCATATTATGAACTTCAAACATACACAAAGGATATGAACACATACCAGCATCTAGGTGTGGCTTTTACGACTTATTTTATCCCAGATTACAGGTAACGTTATGGATAAACACCTACTTTCTGCCATTTTATGCTTATACACATGTGGAAATGCCGTTTATTCTCTTTCCATAGCATTATCTGCCTGCACACAAAATTTTGCTCTTGTGTTGTTTCTTATGCACTGGGTAGAGCACTGTAGAGCATAGGCAACATGTGAACTCAAATGCAAGAGAGTTCCCTGTGAAATTCCTGCTGGATTCTCTTTGGGCCCAACAGCAAACTGAAGATAATGGAAGGATTTAAAAAAAAAAATTAATTCCTCTACAAGAAAAAAGGTACAGATCAGACTGGAAGAGGTATTACGAGATGTACTTGAAACGAATTCATTATTTCATTAAAATCTTATTTCTGACAGTTTCCGAATAGTTTTTCAAGCATAAATAAATGCATCAGCTAGCTAATTTCCTAAAGAAACACTGGAGGTGGAAAGACTTACAAAGACTTGCTCCATAAGGGAGTATTTCACTGGTTCAACTTAATCAGTTTTTAAAACATGCGAGTGGGGAGAGGCTCTATCTGTTGAGTTTTTAAAAAGAACAAAGGGAGCGACGCATTCCTTGCAAGTAAATGAGAAAAGTACTTCAGCACATCCCCTCGGTTGGAAGAGAAGGAGGATGGCTGAAGGAACACTGTCCACTCAGGTCAGACAGCACGTGGTCAACTGCCCTCCATGCACTTTGGAGGGGAATAATTCAGAAAATAATGCTTTTTGTCATCTGCTTCTATCTCTGAAAAAAGCGAAGTGTGAGGAAGTAGGCTTTCATGTTAACACTCCATTAAGGACTATATATGAGAGTTATGATTTCAGTCTGTTTGGCAGAACCCAAAAAACGTTAGTGCATTAAATTACGCAGCCCGCGTTACCCGTACACCAAGATGAACACAGAAATGCCATGACACCAAGTAAGAAGTCGGTCTCCTGTGGGGTTTAAGCACTGTAAATCTCATTATAATATCAACAGCAGTCACATGGCTTAAACCCCCAGCAGGGTTTTTTAAAGTTTCTCCACAAGAGCCTGAAGGCCATGGCCAAGTCAACGGAAAGAGTCCTACTGAGATTAGTATTTATTTTTTAAATCCGAGTGCAAATCTCTTTTCTTTCCAGGGATCTTGCACAAGACAAGACAAACTATGCAGGACATGATACCCTGGTATTGTGTCCAAAGAAAATGACTGAATGACCAAGAGAGTATCAACTGTACGCTGCGCTCAGCATGGAGAAGCCCAGTGCTGTCAATAACCAGGAAGATTGGTGCTGGCTTTAAGTTCCAGTAAACAGGAACTTAAAGGTCATTCTGCTAACAGGACACTGAGCATAACATACTTAGCACCTATGTACAGCTCCCACTGCCATGCAAGGGAGAAGAGCAACTACTTAAACTCACCAACAACTGACACTTGAAAAAAGGAAAAAAAAAACCAACCCTCTTGGGGTTTTTTGAAAGAAAAATGCAAGCATCCTCAGTGGGCAACACCTTTCTGAAGCTGCTTACCGCAATCCCACTCCGGCTTTTCAGCCGTGCGTTCTGGTGACCTTTATGTGTCACTATCAGATTACTGCTGTTTTATCCATCTCGCTTCTGGAGATGTTATGGATTGCCACTTGTTCGCTGGTAGAGCCTTAAGAAGCACCTCAAAACAAAACAAAGGGCGGTTCATGCCGGAGCGCATAGAGCGCACAAAGGATTCACAGCCAGTGGAAATCAATGCGGAACTCTGTTTTCCTTTAACTGATCTAAGTACTCAATGTTTAAGCAAACAGAGGTAGAAAATGAAGATTTTAATCCAAAAGATAAACAAACAGTTCTCTTGGCACAATACAAACACATATTTTTTAATTGCTTGATGATGTTTGCGCGTGGTCTGCATGGAAGCACAGTTTCTATGACCTGGATGCATCCTTGGTCTCACTGCAGAAACAGATGTCCAGAGGAGCTGAGCACTGGCAAGCAGAAGCGAGTTTTGGTCTGATTTCTAATGACACAGTGGAGTAGGTCTCTGTTTCTATCACCCTCTCCTTCCACAAATCCCACATCCCTGCTTGGGTGCTGGTGATGCAATGCTTTGCAGTGGAAGCAATTTTGTAACAACACAACGAAGGAACAAATGATGTAGAATGCAGAATACGTCCTTTTCATCCTCCTTGCTATTAGCACACAAAATTCTTAACATACAATAGAATTAATTCCAAATAATGCAATAGTGCAGCGATATTACATCAAAGCACAACAAAAATGCCTCTGGCAAGTAAAATTTCTTGCGTAAGTCAGCCTATTCATGACATACAACAAAGTAATAAAATCCATGTGGGAAGCTGCAAACTACGTAAAGGTCCACCTAATTCTTGCTGCCTACAGCTTGCTGTGGGGCTACATGGGGCAGGCTGGGCCAAGGGCCACGCACCTCCCAGCGCCTGCACCTTCTGCACAGGGGAGAGGGATCTGTGCCTCTGCTTTCACCACTGCACGCTGCTCCCTGAGCCCAGGGATCTCCAGATGGTTTAATTTAGCCCACGCTTACCAACCAGGTGAAACTGGGTACTATGCTTGTCAACACTCGCAAAGAAGCCACGGGTGGATGTAAAAACCAAGCAAGCAGAAGCCTCGGCAATAATACTTCTGCCACACAGTGGACCATGTCTTAAATATTCATGATGCTGACACAGTTCATATTCCACTGTCTCTCTTCCATGTCTGCTTAGGCCAATGATCTTTGCCAAAATGCTGGGGGAAGTCAGAGACGTAGAGAAGCATCCTTGATTTTCGGTTACAGTTATGAAGCATCTGCTCACGTTTTATCAGAGCAGAGAACATGCCTGAGCCACCTGCACACTGAAAAAAATCAATACCACATCTCCTCCTTCCCTCCTGGAAGAAGGTCTGAGCAGAGCACTCACAAACTGCCTTTTTTTAATTATTATTTTTATTCTGTAGGGGCAACGGGAAGTGACCTCATCTTTGCCAGGTGCTGTGAAAGCTCTGGGTGGGAGCGTGGGGCTCAGCACAACGCCCCAACCGCAGACCTGTATGGGAACATCCCAACCCCATCCCACAGCACAGGAGGTGAGGCACAGCCCGAACCGAGCCAGGTCTGCAGTGCTCATGGTGCCTGGGGAACTCTAACCCTCACTACAAGGCACAGAAGGAATAATGCTGGTGGAAATGCCAAGATCCTCTCAGTCAGACATGCTTGCTGCATTTAAAATCTAAATGGTAACGGAGTGATGATTAAATTCTTGTACCAACTGATTCCTAAGTCACCACCAACAAGCAAACAGCCATACTCGAATGCATGTTCCTCTCTTTATGACAGGATCACCTGAATAAAGATGTGTTTTGCAGTAAAGCTGCACTTGTGCAAATCCTTCTGAATTCATACCAGGATGGCTTGGCACCCCTTTCCTCCCTAATCCATGAGCCAAATAAAATAAAATAGAAAAAGGTAAAAAAATACATCAAGGAGAGTATTAAGTCACACACTCGGCTGGGTTACTTCTAAATATTCATGCCTCCATCCCAGCAACAGCATCAGCCAGAATGCAGGTATTTGATCTGAGAAGAGAACTCTCTGAGCAGGGGAAATGCCTCGCCACTGCAGGATGAAGCTCAGCAGAGAGCTGAGGGTTTCAGAGAGGTGGCAGTCGAAGTGCATGGCCAGTGGCAGCTTTTCCTAGAACTGGCATGCACGTTTGTGGTTGCTTTTAAAGTCTTTTTCTCCCCTTCCTCATTGCTTTAGTCCACATCCAGATCGAGGGCTAGAAGCAGCTCATATTTTACATCAAGCTCTATTGGAAGTAACAGGAGTAGTGTGTTACGTCTTAAATGACTACA